AAAATTTAAGTCAATATAAGGTAAGCATTTTAATTGACAATACACCACTTTCTCATTTACTTATGTCACACGAAAAGAGAAAAGTAACGTTTCCACAACTTGTCAACCTGATGTGATAGAGAAGAATAAACACAATGAATCTCTATTTTCCATATATACCGAAAAAGATACCATAGTCAGTAAAGAAAATCGTGCAGACCAATGTATAGTCACCACTCACTATAAGCTAAGGATGAAAATATTTTAAGTAATGTGTGTACTGTATGTGCATTTTTAAGGTCTAGCTCTTTCTCACTTAATTTATGATAGTGTAAACATATAATCAGCCTTTTGTATACACCTACCATCCGACTTACGACCTGCTCGACTTACGACCACTCGACTTACGACCGTGTTTTTTATGCCAAATTTCTGGGAAATAAACAACTATTTGTGTTGTACACAGTGTTTATCCTAAACCTTACAGTATAAAATACAGTACTAACAACATAAAAAGTAAAGTAAAACATGAAATACCAAAATAAAACAATAAAATAGTCATTACAAAAATGTTTTGTTGATATTCAGTAGTAAAGTTCGACTTACGACCATTTCGACTTACGACTGGTTTTCTCGGAACCGAACTCGGTCGTAAGTCAGATGGTAGGTGTACATTTGAAATCACTTTACAGTGATATTTGCTTTACAGCGGTAGCCCGTCGTATAAGGAGTAGCCCGTTGTATAAGTGGTAGGGACAGCCCATTGTATAAGAAGTAGCTCACTGTATAAGCGGTAGTTTGCTGTATAAGGATGGGAGGGGGGGCTCCTGTAATGTGATACAGTATATATAAGAACATAAGAACATAAGAACGAAGGAACACTGCAGAAGGCCTACTGGCCCATGCGAGGCAGGTCCAAGTCCCTACCGGCTTAAGCCAATGCACCCAACCTAGTCAGGTCAGGTCACATTGAGTTAAGGGAGGAACACGGCAACCGACCTGTTAGCACAAGCTATCAGGTCTAACTCACACCCACCCACATCTACTCATGTATTTATCCAACCTATTTTTAAAGCTACACAACGTTCTGGCCTCTATAAACGGTACTTGGGAGTTTGTTCCACTCATCCACAACTCTATTACCAAACCAGTACTTTCCTATATCCCTCCTGAATCTGAATTTTTCCAACTTAAAACCATTGCTGCGAGTCCTGTCTAGGCTAGATATTTTCAGCACACTATTTACATCCCCTTTATTTATTCCTGTCTTCCACTTATAAACCTCAATCATATCCCCCCTGATTCTACGTCTTTCTAGAGAGTGCAGTTTCAGGGCCCTTAGTCTATCCTCATAGGGAAGGTTTCTGATACATGGGATCATCTTTGTCATCCTCCTTTGTACATTTTCCAGAGAATTTATATCCATTCTGTAATACGGTGACCAAAACTGTGCAGCATAATCTAAATGAGGCCTAACCAAGGATGTATAGAGTTGAAGAACAACCTGAGGACTCCTATTATTTATGCTTCTTGATATGAAGCCAAGGATTCTATTAGCTTTATTGCGAACACTTATGCACTGTTGTCTTGGTTTCAGATTACTGCTAACCAGAACTCCTAAATCTTTTTCGCAATCCGTAATATTAAGATCTACATTATTTAGTTTATATGTGGCATGGTTATTGTCCTGTCCAACATTTAGAACTTTGCATTTGTCTATATTAAACTGCATCTGCCACTTCTCCGACCACTGCATCAGTCTATTCAAATCTTCCTGGAGTGCTCGAATGTCCTCGTCAGAATGAATTCGACGGCCTATTTTGGTGTCATCGGCAAACTTGCCGATGTCGCTCTTTATGCCCTCATCTATGTCGTTTATGTAGATTGTGAACAGCAGGGGGCCCAACACTGACCCCTGTGGAACACCGCTCGTGACGCTTCCCCACTCTGATTTCTCCCCATTTATGCAAACTCTCTGCTGCCTATTTGTCAACCATGCCTCTATCCAGGAAAAAATTTCTCCTCCTATTCCATGTGCTTTAATTTTCCTCAATAGTCTCTGATGTGGGACCCTGTCAAAAGCCTTACTGAAGTCCATATACACAATATCATATTCATTACCATGATCTACCTCCTCAAATACCTTAGTGAAAAAAGTTAATAAATTCGTAAGGCAGGAACGCCCCTTTGTAAAACCATGCTGAGATTCGTTGATTAATTTATGCTTTTCAAGGTGGCTACGAACTGCCTCGGCAATTATTGATTCCATAAATTTCCCACTATGGAGGTTAGGCTTATTGGTCTATAGTTCGAAGCTAAGGACCTGTCACCTGTTTTGAAAATAGGTATCACATTTGCCATTTTCCACTTATCTGGCACCATGCCAGTTTGTAGTGATATGTTGAAAAGATTAGCCAAAGGTGTGCTAAGCTCCTCTTTACATTCTTTAGAACCCTTGCATACAGTTCATCAGGGCCTGGGGATTTGTTAGGTTTTAATTTATCTATTTGCCTAAGGACCATGTCACTTGTGACCCTAATCGTGCACAGTTTATTATCGTCCTGTTCTACATAATTTATCATTACTGGAATATCGCTGGTATCCTCCTGTGTAAAAACTGAGAGAAGTATGTGTTAAAAATTCTACACATTTCCTTATCACTGTCAGTGAGCTGACCCGAGGAACTTTTGAGTGGGCCTATCTTGTCCCTGATCTTACTTCTGTATACCTGAAAGAATCCTTTTGGGTTAGTCTTCGATTCTCTTGCAACTTTAACCTCATAATCTCTTTTTGCTTTTCTAATTCCCTTTTTTATTTCTCTCTTTAACTGAATATATCGATTTCTTAATTGCCCCTCTCCTCTTTTGATTTGCCTATATATGCCTCTCTTTTGACCAATCAGATATTTTAATCTATTGTTCATCCATTTAGGATCATTTTTGTTTGATCTGATTTCCCTATTTGGAACATAATTTGACTGAGCAGCTAGAACTATGCCCTGGAAAGCATCATATCGGCAACCATCACCACCTACCTGACCCCTAGTCAGGTCATTCCAGTTCAGCCCACCTAAGTAATTTTTCAGTCCTATGAAATCAGCCAAGCGAAAGTCAGGGACGGAGACTTGATTGCCATTATTAGGGGAATTCCATGATATGTTAAAACTGAGTGATTTGTGATCACTCTCCCCAAGCTCATCATTAACCTCAAGATTATTAATTAGTGTTTCCCTACTGGAAAGAACCAAGTCAAGATTTTATTTCCCCTAGTTGGCTCTGTCACAAACTTTTTTAAAAAAAACAATCCGGGATCGATCAAAAAAGTCACCCGACTCAAAATTTTTCCTGTAAAATTGCTCCAGTCAATCTGCTATAGTTGAAATCTCCATTAGCACAACATTTTCGTATGTAGATGCCTTACGAATTTCGCCCCCATAGAATTTTACGCACTCCCTATAAAGTTTTGGGGCCCTGTAAATCACACCCAAAATTATTTTTTCTCGGCCCCGAAAGCTTTAACCAACAGATTCAGTGGCTGACGCTTCTAATTTAATATCTTGTCTAACACAACAATTTAAATTGTCTCTGACATACACGCTACTCCCACCACCTTTCCTGTTGACCCTGTCTGTGGAATAATTTAGCCTTGTATGTGACATTCAGAGGGCATCTCTCTATCTTTCAGATTGAGCCAGGTCTCTGTATAGCAAAAAATCTATGTTTCCTGCACTTGCAATTAATCTTAGCTCATCTATCTTATTTCTAACACTCCTGCTATTAGTATAGTAAACCTTAAGGGAGCTAGTCCCTTGCTGCCCTCTGCTGTCCCCCTTTGTTTGCTGACCTGTTCTATTGTCTTTATTTATAAACTTCATGCTGAATGCCTTTATACATTTAATGTTTCCCCAACCCTAGTGTTGCAACCTGCTTGTTTCCCACACACAACCCATACCTCTATCTTCCATCATTTTTAAAATCATAGGCATTTCACCAATGGCCTTCTCAATCGAGTCTGCAAGTGCACCACCCCTGCCCCAGAGAGATGAACCCCATCCCTTGCATACATATCATGTTTGCCATAAAAGTTGTTCCAGTTGTAAATGAATGGGATTGCAAGCTCCTTGCAGTATCTGTCTACCCAGCAATTTACACCCAATTGCCCTAGACAACCATTCATTTCCTACTCCCCTTCTAGGCAAGATGCTACAATGATTGGGGATCCCCCCCTTAGACTTAATGAAATCTATAGCTGACCTGTACTTATCTAGCAGCTCTTCTCTCCAAACCCTTCCCAATATCATTTCCACCAGCACTGAGACAGATAATGGGCTTGTTCCCATTACCTGACATGATATTATCCATCTGTTGACAATGTCCCCAACACCAGCTCCAGGGAAGCACACTCATCTCTCACTTCTTATTCCTATTACAAAAAGCACGGCCAACATATCTTACCTGAGAGTCACCAACCACAAGAATGCGCTTACCTTCATTAGCAGGGCAGTAGTACCCTTACCTTCACGGGCCACTGAAGTACATTCATCCTGGAGAACAGAGAAGCGATTTCCTCCCTTCAGATCTTCACTCTTAACTTTCCTTACTCTGATCGCCTCCCATTACTGTGAACAACTCGCCACTTGTAGCAGGTGCTGGGCTGCACCTCACTGCTGGTAGCCATTGCTACCTCCCCACCTACAGCCTCCTCACAGTGAGAGACAGACTGCACCTCACTGCTAGAAGCCTCATTCCCCACATCTCCAACCACCTCACACTCTCTCCCAGGCCCGTTGAGGTGGACCTTCAGCCTCCTAATCTCCTCCTGGAGAAGCAAGACCTCCTCCTTCAACTCTCCAACCTCAGTTTTTAAAACACTGCAGAAGCAAGCCATGCTTTGTAACCGTCCACGCTAATCCCCAAAGCAGCTCAGGGTCTGTGACCTCACGTGACGACTGACCACTGAACACTCAATAGAAACACTGACATTTGCCATTGCATGATTTTATGATAATATTTCTTTTGTAGAATGGTGAGGGCCCATCATCGTGTGGGGATCAGGGAGAATGGGACAACAAATCCACCTCAAGTGTATCGGAGATGTCGGTAGCGTGCCTACAAGACCGTATTCAACAGATGGAAGAAACCCATTACTGGTAATTTTCCCTGAACTGTTAAGATAGTAATGCTGAAAGAAAAAAAGAAAAAATGGTTACTTGTACTCCCTTTTTAATTACAGTATTTAAAGTAATGCTGTACTATAATGAGAAACTAGAATAAAATTAATTAGTGAGCATTTTAAAACTGGTAACTGCAGTCATGCAGATCTAGTGATAGGAATTGTTTTTGCATGTATTGGGTACCCAAATTAAGTAATACTGTGTTTATTTAGCACAAACGAAGAGCTCCAAGCCACTTTACAGGAGCTAGATGACCTTCGAGAGCAGCTTTCCGAATGCCAGTTGGAGGTGCAGCAACTACAGGAAGAAAAACAGGTACATTCTGTATACACGCTTTAATTCATTCATCATACAATCTTCAATTGTTGGTGCTATGAAATCTTCACATTAATATACAGTGTTAATGAATTATGGATAATATTTTTTTTATGCTTTGGTTATGTCCATGTAGTGCCTGTGAAGGTTATAAAAGTAATACTGTAACAATGTCTCGAGTAGCATAGATAAAAAAAAATTAGTAAGTACGTAACCCATAAATTAGTAATTAAAATTTTGCGACTAGTCCATTATCAAGTCATGTGTGAAAAAAAAATCCTGAAGTCTGATCAGCATATTGGGAGATGAGGTAAAATTGTTCGCCATCTAAAGATAAATGCATTTGACAATTTACTGGGAGATTCGAGCATCTACAGAAACGAAGAGTTGAGGGATTCTTGTTAAGGATATTTCTATCACTGGTTCATAAAGACAGTGCCTATGAAAACTTAGCTAGATAATTTTGTATTAATATTGGTAGAATTACTGACTATGTTAAGTAAAAGGACACAAATGCAACTAATGTTACATTTTATTGTAGCAGCATTTTACTCTCCAAGCTTTGTCAAGCCATGGCTTGACAAAGCTCCTGGAGAGCGAAACATTGGATAATTTTGGAAGACAAGCTTGTCAGATGGCTATGGGCCCTTGACATGATGGAAGTGTGTGTTGTTAGTGTCAGAAAGGAGAACACTTATGTTCATCTGTGAATAGTGGTCCGGACTGAGATGTTTGCCAGTTATTTCTAATCTGTGGGTTGTTATTAATAATAAATTTAATAAATGACATATTTTATACTAATGAAAAACATTGTGAAATACCATATTTGAAATCAGGCTTCCTGTATTGTTTGCAGAATAAACAGTTGTCCAGAATAAACAATGTAGGCATTTCTGACACTAAAATAACATTTCCTTGGTTATGTTTCCAGGCATTACACATGAACTCCATTTTGATTTTTTATTCACACAAAAAATAGAAGATACTGTTATGCAATATTGTAATAACTGTATAAATAATAGTGCATTCGTGAACCATATTAGACTTGCCAGTTGATATGTATTGGACATGTGATGTAATTTGTTTACTCCTGAACATCAGCAAAAATTGAACATTTCCACTAATTCGAGCTCAGTGATGAGCTATTTTCAGTCCTAAAACCAATCAAATCATCTCCATTCTGTCAAATATGACCAAAAAACTGAGAATACAACCATAAAATCCATATGAAAATACACTGCAAAGTTGCCGTTTTAAACAAAAAACACTATCAGTTTTTTCTCATTATGCACTGAATGGTGCAGGATTTTTTTTTATATATATATATGGGGCACATTTACTGCACTGACCCTTTTTCTCATATCTAGGCCCAAGTTTACCACTCACAACTCATCTGTGTGAGCTGATCTCATCACATATTACTACAGTATGGCCAGTGATCTCAAAGGTGTACTACTATGTCATCAAAAGGGTTATTGACCCCCCTTGTAGTCAGTGGGCTTTAGACTCGATTAACCAATTAATTGATAGGTTTGCTGATGTATTAGCATGTCTGGTTGTGGTCCGTTACATGATATTTAAAGTGAGCTACAAAAGTTTAAAGTACTATTGTATATGCATGCTAGCTTTTGCCATTTGGTAGAACAGATGAGGGTGATAGGTTTAAAAATCTTATCTATAAATGCAGTAATTGAGAGGAATTAATCTTTTTTCCTCAGGTAATACTCGAATCTCTGACTCAACAAACGGAAAAGCTAAATGAAGCTCGGTCTCATAATGACACGCTCAAGCACATGCTGATTCAACAATCTGAAAATAGTCAGGATTTGTCCCAGTGTGAAAAGACTCAACGACTTATGGAGTTATTAAAGGTAAAAATTATTTGTATAGTTTATCAGTAAGATTTGTAATGTTTAAATGAATGAGAATTCTCTCTCTAACATTGGCTAGTCTGTTATTTGATGTAGAGGAGGAGCTTTGTTTGACCCTTTCACTGTCCAGACCCCCAAAATTAATATTGCTCTGTGTACACATTAAAAATAAATATGTAATGGTAGAGAATCTGTCTGAAGATAATGACACCAAAAGTGTGAAATTTGATGGAAAACAGACGTAGTTAGTGGTCTCGGCGCAACATACACATAGGTGATTTTGCCCACTTTTAGTCTTACTTTAAACTAATTCCATTGCTTCTTTCTCCCAAATTCTTAGATATTTTGCTAGTAAGGCTTCTGTTCTGTTGATTGAGCATACAAAACTGCCCATTCACCTACCCTTTAAAGTGTACAGAAGTCAGTAATTTGGACAATTGTACACAAAATTAAGAAAAAAATACCAATTTAAAAAGTCCAAAATAAACACTAGACATTCCCAGCACTAAACATTTCCTCTGTTCATTAATCATGTCCCCAGGCATATCCTGTCATAAACTTATCTTCATTTTGAATTCTTAATGGTAAAAATAGAAGATTTACTCTCTCTTGGATAATAAAATATAATCAAGAATGATTCGTCATGGTTTATGGTATCCTAATAGTTGAATCAGACCTAGCTTTTTTTTTTTTTCTCTCTCTCTCTCAACACAGGCCATCTCCCACCGAGGTAGGGTGACCCGAAAGAGAAACTCTTTCACGGTCATTTACTATATCACTGTCTTGCCAGAGGTGTGTTGATACTACAGTTCAGATGCCCCTCTAAACTGAGATGTCCCACCCTTCCTTCAGAGTGGAGGCACTACTTTCCACCTCTGTTTAACTGATTTCCCTGAATCCTTTCACACTTCAACAGCTTGTGTCCCAAAAACCATTTGCTTCCATTCACTCCTACCCTGTAATGTTGACACATTATTTTTCCTAAAGGTATGAAAAGGAGGTTGAGCATTTAAAAACGCAGTGCTATTATGTGAAGGTTTGGGGTTAGTTTAGTGAATGGATGCATGTAAGAGGGAAGAAGAAAGACTGGTGAAATGATTTAAAAAGGATGGTAAGGTAGAAAAGTTAGTATATAAAGTGTTCCACACTGTAAGAATTATACAAAGCAAGGATCTGAGAATTAGGAAACAGTTTTGGAAAGAAATTAAAATGAGAGAACCTGGAGAGTAATTAGAGTAGTTACAAATGAAATATGATTGCAGAGAAAAAGGGTTAGGCAACCCAAGTTTTTGTTTTGCATCAAAGCATGCAAATGAGCCTATATAGATTTGGAAGACCCTTATAGGTTTGGTGCTTCTTTTTGATTATAATAATAATAATAGATTTGGAAAAAGGGGGTGATAGGGTGGATAGAAGATTTGGTTGATTTTCCAGATGTATAGACTAGGTGGTAGCTTTAATGCTTTAAAAATCAGCAAGTGACAAACTGAGATTAGGGTATGTTGAATATTCATATTTTCCAGTAAAACTGGAACTTAGCACTGTAATGTCACATTGGTTGTGTTATATATTTTTAGATCGGGTTCAAATGAAGAGATTGCCCCTGCATAGAAGTTCACATTTAAATAATAATAAATCTAATGTAAAGTAGGAATCATACTTGCTCTTCTGATGACAGTACTCGTGATACTTAGAAATGATGCAGAGGTTGGTGTGGAGGAGTTTTAAAAAAGCAAGTGAAGGTGAACATAGAAAATGGGAATGATTATCAGGGCAACAAGTAGGTATAAAAACCTTTATACCCAAGTCTAGGTAATAAAGTAGAATGTACAGTACCAAAGCAGAGTAATGCCAATATTTTATATGGACAAATCATGGTCTTTTAAGTGTTAAGTGACGTGGTGGTTGGGGGCAGAGGAGATGTTTGGATTTGTTTGGTGTGAGCATTATGCAAGGAATAAGAAGTGTAGAAATTAGAATACAGTGTATTGATATAAAGTATAATTGAGAGAGGGAGAGAAGGAGGGGTTTAGATGGTTTGGTCATTTGGAAATGATGGAACAGGATGTGTTGACTAGGAAGCTGTGCAGCTCTTGGTTAGGTGGAAAAGGTTGGAAGGAGTTAATGTAAGATGTTTTAAGTGATAGAGACTTGAGCATCTACCAGAAATATGGGATTGTGTTAGATTGGAGTGTTAATGAGGCAACATCTACAGCAGAATTCAGGGAAACCTGTGAACCGATTAGAATTGCAGAGATGACAGGTACTTGCCAGCACTTGGAAGGATGGTTGCAAATGTTGGGGTTCAATGGTGTATTGGATTTGTGGTGTCAGCTTTTCTGGAAAGACATGGACAGACATCTAAGGGAATGAGTGATCGTGAATGTATTTCCTTTAGTGGGTCATCCAGCCTTGATGAGAAATGGTTGCTTTTAAGAAATGAAAAAAATAATATACTGGTGTTAGAATAAATAGAGGTATAGAAAATACAAAGGATGTTTGTTCCATGCTGTACTTTAAAAAAGAATTTTGATGGACTTAATTTCTTCTTTACCAAAGTAGAAATGTGCACAATGGCCAAATATTTTTTTGCACTTCAAGTCCAAGAAACTGCACACCTAAAATAATTCATGAATTCGTTTGCTGTTAGAGTGCACAAGAAGATCGCGAGTTATTGCAAATGAAGCAGGAAGAGCTAGAACAGCAACTTGCTACAACGAAAGAAGCTGAAGAACGTTACCATCGTGAGTCGCAACTAATAAGAGACAGGTGAGATTAGAAAATGTAGACATTATATTAAGTTACCAATATGTGAGATATACTCTTAACATTATTCCACATTTACGGGCAAGTCCTTAAATTTTGTAATAGTACAGCACTTGCTAAAAAATACTTATTGGATTTCATGTACTGTAATTCGGTTATGCTAATAATGCCTTCTAAAATCTTGGTTTTATTATTTTATTGAGTATTTTGTAAAAATTCAGGATGAAGCTTCTAGAGTCTATGGTTGAGGCTGCTAATAATGAGAAGAAGGCAGCTGAGAACCAGTTAGCAGAAGCCCTAGAGTCTACTAAAGCCACAGAGATTGAAACTACAAGATTGCAGACTGCCTTGGATACTGCAAAAGAAAAGGTTTGTAAAGCATTTCCACGAGTGGCACACTATTCTTGAAGTATTGCATAAAAATTATAAAAAATTACATTTTATTCTATCTTTCAACAAACTGGCTATATCACTGAAGCAGGGTAGCCCGAAAGGAAAAATGAAAGTGTATTCTTTTAAATTTAGTAATATATACAGGAGAAGGGGTTACTAGCCTCTTGCTCCCAGCATTTTAGTTGCCTCTTATGACATGTGAGGCATACAGAGGAGGAATTCTGTTCCACTTCCCCATGGAGATAAACAGAAATGAACAAGAACAGGAACTAGTAAGAAGATGGAAAAAACCTATACATATATATATATATATATATGCTTGTACATGTATGTGTAATGTGACCTAAGTGTAAGTAGAAGTAGCAAGACATGCCTCAAGCTTTGCATGTTTGAGACAAAAAAAGACACCAGCAATCCTACCATCATGTAAAATAATTACTACAAGTGTCCGTTTTACACTCGCCTGGCAGGACTGTAGTACCTCCGTGGGCGGTTGCTGTCTACCAACCTATTACCTTTATTTTATATCAGATGTAAATAAACTTCCTCTCCCTTCTCTGTTCTTGCCTTCTCCTTCTCATCCCATTCCTTATTGAAATAGTGACATACTATACTCTTCTATTTTCAGATAACAGAATTAGAGGCAGCAGTTATATCTGGAGAGAAGAGTAAACTGCCTGATGTACTGGAGAGAGTAAGGCAAGAGAAAGACACAATAGAAAAGGAAAATGGTTCACTTCAACAGAAAGCCAATGCAATGGCATGTGAGAATGAAAGACTCAAAGATCAAATATCTACACTACAGGATGAACTAATGGTAAGTAATGTAGAACAGCTTGTAAATATACCATTTTGTTGTTTTTAAGGCTTGTAGCTAGATTGTATATGCAAGGGCAAATGTGATCCCAACTTGGAAGAGAAAACGCTAAATAAATTACGGAATTAACCCTTAAACTGTCCAAACATAGATCTAAGTTCACGTGCATAGCGCTCCGACTGTAGAACTACGTTTTTTTTTACATGCTTTCAAATGGAAAAAAATAAAGGTTGGAGCGCTACGCACGTAAATGTAGATCTGTGTTCGGACAGTTTAACCCTTTCAGGGTCCGTCCCGTAGATGTACGGCTTTACGTTCAGGGTCCAAACCGTAGATCTACGTCATGAGCTCATCTTGCTCTGATAAACTGTGAGTGGTACATTTGGGCCTAGATATGAGAGAATACAGCTGTGTGGTATGTGTGCACCACATAAAACAGATCCTGCAGCACACTGTGTATAATGAGAAATAAAACTGAAATCATGATTTTTCGATTAAAACAGCGACTTTGCAGTGTTTTTTACAGTTGTATTTGCGATTTCTTGGTCTCATTTGATAGAATGGAAGACATATTACAGAAATAGAGATGATTTTGATTGGTTTTAGTACTGGAAATGGCTTGAAACTGAGCTCAAAGTAGCAGAAATGTTAAATTTTTGCCGATATTCAAGAGTAAACAAACGACCTCACACATCTAATACACGCCAGCTGGTGGGTCCAATATGCATTCACAAATATGGTGATGATATTTATACAATTATTACAGTATTGCATAACAGTGAATCTTCTATTTTTTGGTGTGAATAAAAATTCATTATGTGAATAAAAAATCAAAATGGAATTTATTTGTAAAACCTCAAAACGTAACTAATGAACAGAGGAAATGTTAGTTTAGTTCCAGGAATACCTACATTGTTTATTCTGGACCCTATTTTGAAATTGGAATATTTTGAACTTTGTGTTAAATTGGCCAAATTAACAATTTCCGATCACTTTAATTTGTAGTTGAAACAGTTGACTTGGCGATTTCTTGTGCTCAATCGATAGAATAGAAGTAATACTAGTGAAATAGCTAAGAATTTGGTTGACTGGAGTAATGTAATTGACCTAAAATGAGAGTCAAAGTCGACAAAATCGCCGCTTCGTAAATATCACTGACACATCAAAATTCACGAGAGCATAATTTCGTAAATTTTCCATCAAATTTCGTACTTTTTGTTTTATTACCATCACAAAAAGATTCTCTACCATTTCATAAGAAAAAATAACAAATTTTTTTTTTTTTAAATTCTTGGACACTGGGGCACTACTTCAGATTTGGGCCTTGGACCCTGGGGGTTAAAGGTTAAGGGGCCTGTCATGCAATTAATTGTTGCTTTTTTTATTTGCCGTCAGATTTCCTTCAGTTTTGGTGCACAAGACCGTGTTTTCACTCTTTCCTGAAAATATTTATCAAAAATATACCTCAAACAACAACTGAGAAAAGACTGAAAAAGGACTTATTTACAGAAAATGCCCTTTGGCAGGAAGGTGACCCTATATGGGACGACGTAAGGTTGTTTGGACACTTGGTGCCGAGAGAACAATGCTAATACTAATTTTCCTCGAGGCCTTTCCTCTAAATAACTTATCTTTATTTCACAAAAAAAAAAATAGTTTGTTAGTTCTTGGAATGTTGAAAAAAATCTGCCCTTTACTCTCACATAACTCCCAAAGTATTTGGAATATTTCCAAAATTCCCTCGACATTAATTAGAGAAATCATTATTATTTTACCATTTCTATGAATATTATTCCACTTAATCCTTTGACTGTTGCGGCCGTATATATACGTCTTACAAGGTACCGTGTCTGACATATATATACATACTCATAAATTCTAGTGGCTTCAAATCAAGCAGGAGAAAGCTGGTAGCCCCACATGTGAGAGAATGGGTCTGTGGTCAGTGCACACCATATAAAAAAAAATCCTGAAGCACGCAGTGCATAACGAGAAAAAAAAAAACTTTTTTTTTTTTTTTTTTTTAAATGCCGACTATGGTCTATTTTCGTATAGTATTTATGGTTGTATTCTCGTTTTCTTGGTCTCGTTTGATAGAATGGAAAACATTTTATAGAAATAGAGGTGATTTTGATTGATTTTACTATAAAAATTCCTGGAAATAGAGCTCAAAGTAGGGGAAATGTTTGATTTTTGCCAATGTTCAAAAGTAAACAAATGATGTTATTGTCCAATAAATGTCAAACTAGCCATTCTAATATGCAGTCATGAATGCGTTGATGTTATTTATACAATTATTACAGTATTGCAGTAGTCTGCATAATAGTAAGTCTTCTATTTTTAGTTTGAATAAAAATTCAAAATAGAAAGCAAGAGTAATATCAGAGGGGCCTGGAGACATGACTGATGAACAAAGAAAATGTTATTTTAGAGCCAGGAATGTCTGCATTGTTTATTCTGGGCCTTATTTTGAAATTGTCATTTTCTAATTTTCGTGAAATTGGCCAAATTACAAATTTCTGACCACATTATTGGGTAGTTGAAGTAGGTAAATGGGCAGTTTCTTGTACTCAATCGATAGAAAAAATGGAGTTCTAAAGAAATAGCTATGAGTTTGGTAGACTGGAACAACAGAATTAGCCGAAAATAGGGCTCAAAGTGGGCGAAATCGCCGATTTGTAAAGATCGCTGAGGTCGCTAACTTCGCGAGAGCATAATTCCGTCAGTTTTTTATCAAATTTCGTTTTTTTGGTGTCGTTACAATCGGGAAAAGATTCTCTATCATTTCATAAGAAAAAATATATATTTTTTTTTTTTTTTTTTTAAATTCTGTGACACCAGGAGACACCTCAGGATTGGGGGTTGCGACAGTCAAGGGGTTAATTAAGTAATAAAGGCATACCTTAGCGAAATAAGTGAATAAGTTACTTCCGAGATATTGGCCTGGAGTGCCGGCTGGCCCACCGTCTCGGGGGGGGCAGGGGGGGGGGGTTATAGCGAAAATAGCATTTGTTTCGGTGTATTTCTTAGTAAACTGATGTTCTAGTGCAGTTATCCTCTTCAAAACACCGTTTTCTCTCACTCGAAGACCAAAGAATACGACATGGAGAGCAGTAACTCATTTATATCGAAATATTCCCAATGGTCTATCGCCATATTATGGCTTATTTTATTCAGTCTAGAGTATATAACATGTTTGTATGTTATTTATAGTGTTTATTATATCATATTAGATCAATTCTGATAGATAAATAAGCCGTAGAGTTGATATATAAGCTGATATAAGCGTAATATTGAAGAGATTTCTCCTGGCTCTCTGGATCGGGAATACTGCCGAGTGTTCCCAGATGGTGTAAGTAGAAGTAGCAAGATGTACCTGGTATACTCAGTAAATTTATTCCCCTATGCCTATAATTTTTACAGTCTCTTTTGTCTCCCTTCCCTTTATATAAAGGAACTATACAAGCTCTCTGCCAATCCCTAAGTACCTTCCCCTCTTTCATACATTTATTAAACAAAAATACCAACCACTCCAACACTATAACCCCCCTGCTTTTAACATTTCTGTCATGATCCCGTCAGTTCCAGCTGCTTTACCCCCCCCCCCCTCATTCTACGTAATGCCTCGCGCACCTCCCCCACACTCACATCCTGCTCTTCTTCACTCCTAAAAGATGTTGTACCTC